GCAAAATTTAAGATATTTCACAATCAAAATTTAAAAAGTTCAAAAGTAATAATATTTAAAATCAAAATTTAAATGGAATAAACTGTAAACATTTTAAAAAATAACAAAAGTTTTAAAATAAATTTATCAAATTTAAAAGCATATATCAAAAACAAACTACTACAGAGACACGATTATACATTCTACAGAAAAAGTTAACTACAAAGTTTATCTCTAAAAATATATAAATATTTTAATAATAAAAGAAAACAATTTATTAATTGCCCTTAACATTAAAATTGAATAAATGATTAAAGAATATGCTTTAAAATGCATATAAGAGCACGTTTATGCAAGAAGTAATTCGGGTATTACCCATAAAATATACTCTCATCCTTCATTTTGTAACTACTTTTGAAACATTCCGAACAAATAGCCATCAGTATAACATTAAAAGATATCAAGAGAAGCCGACTGCAGACAATATTGTGCAATGGGGGAGAGGAAAGAGGGCAAGACAACCAATTTTCGCATTCCCAACAAGGGGGGTACTTTTCACGATTCTCGTGCGAATATAATCACAGGTTGGACATGCAAGCGATAGTAAAATTGTACTACTAACCTCTTACTTGATAGAAAAGGCCATTGTGTGACAAGGCCGCTAACCAATAAGAAACTTATGGCATGGATTAATAAGAAGCCGAATTACCAAACATCCCCTCCTCCAACACCTACCTGCACACGGCAGCCGCGTATTGACAGGTAAGGTCTTGTCACTCACTCTTACCTGTTGAGAAGAGCTAGTTTATAGATTATATTTGAGTGCGAAGTGCGTACACTGATAGATATAATTATGTCATCACCTCTTTTTTTCGTGTTTAGTCTTCGATTAAAATTCAAAAAAACATTAAGTCATTTCAGCCTTTTGCAATAATTGAGAAGCTGAAATTCAAATTTAATTTTTCATTCATAAATTTTTTATATTTATGCATTTTTGGCTCATTAAATCATTTTACATTTTTACATACTTCTGGCGTATTACGAGACTACTCATACACTTTTGATGTGTTATATGACTACACTTTGTATACTTCTGTAACTACACTTTTGCAGACTTTTGGTATATTATGCGACTACTTTCATATACTGTACTTTCAACATATATAATTCCAAATTAATTATTACAATAATTTTAAAAAATTTTTTAAGATGAACCCTATCTAAGCCTACAATCTTCTAGTTTATTGGCAGATTCAAAATGCCATCTAGACTGACGGAAAATTAAAAATCCTATAATTAATATTATTTAATGCTATACAAATTATCATGTAATAAAAACTACACAAAAAGTTCGTAAATTTTTGTGTAGTTTTTATAATAGAAAAATAATGAAATATTTGATAATTCTCAATATATTCACGATTCTATCTATTTTAGGCTGATTATAATCGTGGAATATGGAACTAATTAAAAATTAATTACAAAAACTTCATAACTAACTCTTTGTTACATTCAGTATAATGTTATTTTTTATGGAGAAATAATACTAATGTTTTTAAACATAAACATGCAAAGAGATTTTTGTGTAACTCAGTACCAATGAGAGCCATATCTGTATATATGAGTATGATTTGGCCAAGAAAAAACAATGTTTTAATAAATTCTTTATTAAAATTATGGAATTTTTAGAACTTTTTATTTATCTACAATTAATTATTAATCACTGCATAAAGATTGAATTTTTATTAAACTTCAGTTATCATAGGAACATCATTGCGACGTCTGGATCTTTGTAGAGAGGCAAGAGTAATATTATACAGTCGTATTTTTCTATCAGTAAAATAAAGTATTTTGCAATATTTTAGAATATACATTTATAAAAATACACTTTTCAAAAACTTTTCTTATAATAAATTTATAAAGAAATTATAATTTATGAAAGTTTAAACGCGAGTTGCAGGGATGTTTATATAATTAAAACTTGTTTAAAAACGACTTTTATAAATAAAATGTTATTCAAATTTATAAATAAATCAAAAAAGTTTTATAAATATTTTAAATTGTTTCGAATTAAATAATCTTTAGAAAATTGACATTAAAATTTAAGATATTCGATAAATGTTTAACAATTAATCAAAAAATTTCAATATATTATAGAATTTCTTAGACTTTTCACAGAAATGAACCATTTTCGAAGAGTTTCAAAACTCCATTTTTATGTTAAATTAACTATATTTATTTCATATCTATGAAACATTAGAAAAAACATTTAAAATGGCACAAACCGAGTTATAGCAGTCAATTAACTATGTTAACTGGCTTTTGTAACACAATGTATAGATTACTATTGAAAATTATAATTAAAAAATATATAAAGTAATTTAAGACATATTTTAAATTTCTTAAATGAGCTTATTTCATACACAGTTATAACTATTTAATTTTATTATTAATTTTTCGGAGATATTAACACATTTTTACTGCTTTCAGACAATTTCAATATATAGGTCTATTTATTTTTAAAACTATTAATTATATAATTAACATTAAAGACATAGAGTTAAATATTTCTGGTTTTTTTCCAAAAATTTCTTGAAAGTTTTAGAAACTGAAACTTTTAATCTAATTTTTTCTAGGAACCATTGAATTTCTTACTCAAAGTTTTCAACATTTTGTTTATTTATTCCGAATATTTTTGAAAAATTTTAATATGAATTTCTGAATCTTTTATATCTATTTATTTATTTATTTAAAAATTTTATATGGAAATACCAAATCTTTGATGACATTTTCTGGAAGTTTATGTAAGTGGTCTTGAAATTTTGATGAAATTTTGTGAAAATTTTATTATGATATTTAGTTAAACTTTATGAAAATTTTGTGTAGTAATCATTGAACTTCTTGGTTAAGTTTTTATTTATATTTATTTTTTTAAATTTTGCATTGAGTTACCGAATTCCTGCTCCCACCCTAAGCAAACTTTGATGAACTACCTTAGAAAATTCATGTTATCATTTCGAATACTTTCATACATATTCATCAAAGACGTACAGTACGAGCAGAAATCAGACAAACTATTACTCGCTATAATTGTTTTTAATTCCTAAACAGAAAAATCAATACAATTTCGCATTTATTATCGCTTTATTTTAATAAAACACTTGAATTTTTATCAACCTCCGAAGAAATTAAATTTTTTATAATTAATGGAAATATTAATTAAAATCAAATTATGAAAATTGGTTTTTATTATTATTATTGACATTTGACGCATATGACACTATTTAGCGACATGTGCCGCATTAGATGCGTCAGTTACTAAATAGGAAATAAAAATAAGAAAAATTCCTCTAAAAATCTATTTATACATCTTTACAGTTCTAAAAAAAATTTGAACAAGTTTAAAAATAATAAATATATCATGTTCTATAAATAATTTAATAGCAAACTTCACGCGTGTATACACGAAAAAGCGCAAAAATAATTAATGGCAAATCCCGGAAATTTCAATCAAGGTAATGTTCGGTGCGCGATATATGGTAAACCCGAATCGAAGGAAGAGGAGGATGTGGTGTGTTTCTTTAGATCGTGCCGTTGTTTAAGCACACAGCATGTGTCACGATCTGACACGGGGCATCCCGTGGAGGCGGAGCCACCGTTTCATAAAGGGAGTTGCGTTGTACTTCCGTCATTCACGCTACCGTATATCGGACGGGATGGATGACGTCAGAAGTACACAGTCTGCCACCGAATACTTGTACGTTTCATACCCCTATCAGGATTACTCGTATAGAAGACGAAGTTACGTGTACGCTCCCTCTCAACCCAATACTGTGGCTAGAAGGAACGAAAGAGAGCGCAAAAGGGTCAAGTTGGTCAATTTAGGTTTCGCAAGATTACGTCAGTACATACCTCACTCCAACAAAAGTAAAAAATTGAGCAAAGTGGAAACTTTGAGATCTGCAATCGATTATATTAAACGGCTACAGCAGTTACTCGAAGAACAAGATGATTCTGGAATATATTTTGAAGATCCTAATCAGGATTTGACGGATCTTTCGAGATATCCTGAAGGATACACCATAATCTCCAGGTATTCTAATGGATCTACATGGACCACTTCCAATAATATCATTGGAGATCCTAATTATTGTAGTAACTCCATGGATGATGTCAGATATTTCGCTTGTTCTGTAAGTAAACCCGTAAAAATTTTTTAGTTAAAATTATATAAAATTTGGTTTATTTTTTATAAAATAAACTAAAGCCTAACTTAATCTAATAAAAAAATTTACTTTAAAATAATGTTAAAATATTCTAAAAGCTCACTAAATTTTAACGTCTGTACAACTTTCTAAACGAAAAAATTAAAGTTTAAATTTTAAAAAATAATATAATTAAATGATTATTTTAAACACATACTTTTTAAATATTAAGTTTTCAATTAAAAAATAAATAAAATAAAATAAATTTTGTAGTAAGAAATTCTAAGAATTAAAAAACGAAATTGTTAAATTGTGATAAATTATCCCCAAAATACAGAAACTTGTCTGGAAATTACACAATTAATTTTAATTAAATAACTTTGTTATAAAATTTGTTAAAATTATTAATTGAAATCATTTATCAGTCTTAATTGGTTTCTATTGATTTTGAATCCATCGATAGTAATTTAATTAGCATAACTTAATTATTAATTGTAAAGTTATTTGAAGGTAAAATAATTAATTTTATATCTTCGGATATCTTAAAATAAATAATTAAATACTTTATTTCTACTTTTAAAGTTACTTTAATGAATCTATAATATTTAAATCCAATGATTTTAAATGATTATTAATTCATTGTGATAAATATAATTTTAATTTTAAAAAATTAGTTGCAAACCTTAAAATTATTTATATAATTTTTATGAAAAAATTAATTAAACATCTTAAAATTTATGCTATTTAGATGTATGAATTTCTCAATTTGTTTTATAGATTTTTTTGATAATTAATTTTAAAAAGTCTTTAAAAATCTTAAAAATTTTGTAAATTAATTTTTGGGCTAATTTTTGAATATATAAAACATTCAAAAATAAAAATTATTTGAACAAAAAATTTCAAATTAATCACGTCTAATATATTCAGAACACAATATCAGATAAAATTTTTGTGTTTTTGAACAATGAAATTTTAAAAAATACATAAATTAATCTTTACATTCATTAAATTTAATAATTTTAAATAAATTTAAGTTAATTTATTTTATTTAAATTAATATAAATTAACTGAAATACACTCTTAAGCCGAATCGATCTAAAAAACCTTAAACTTTTAACTAAAAAAATTTTTTTAATGTATTTTATTTTTTAAATAACACGAATTTAATATTTTAAAATCAAAATATAGCATTAAATAAAATTTAGTAAGTGAATTAAGTGGAACATTAATATTAAACTAAGCTTATCACTTGCAATTCATCTTTCCAAGCAAGAAGAATGTCACGAATATTATAAAAACTATAATTTAAACGCTTTATTCTTAATTCAAAAACAGAAGATAAAAATAAAATAATAAATTTTGCATTTTTATTTATAAAAAAAAAAAAAAATACTTATTTTGTGTAAATCCGAGTTTCGATGAATTAAAGATATTTATTTTTAAAATAAATTATATATCTGGCTTTATTTAATTAAATTTTTATTATTTATTTTAATTATTTTTGATTTAATATAATTATTATAATTAATCCAATCAAAAAAAAATTAAGTAGAAACTTCTGTTACCTTTTGAGGCTTTATGTTATATGTAGGAAGCCTTATATTAAATTATACTAAGCAAATCTTACTTTTGTTAGATTATGCTAGCCTTACTTCTTGTTTGTATTTTAAGCATGTACTGTACAGTACTTCTTTATGTTAATGTATACAAACTTTAAGTCTTATGTACAGTACGTTATACTGTACTGTACATACTTAGTATATGGTATTGTACGTAAGATTATAATATATAAGCTTAGACCTATATACAATATACTAAATACCTGTATATGGTTATATACGGTGTAAGGCTACAATAAAGTATGCTAATATTTGTATAGATAAAGTAAAATGTAAGTTATAATACAATAAAGTATGCTTAACATGATTACATAAAGTATAAGGCTTATAGTAACTGATACCAATTCTTAACTGACATTATACTATGTATACTAATTTTCCATTAACATTATTCTAAAATTTTATATAATTAGCAACAGCGACATAAAAAAACTTAAGATATTTATTATTATCTATAAACACTAATTTATTATTTTAATAATATTATTATTAAAGTCATTCTCAAATTTTAAAAGCATAATTTTAAAAAATAATAATAAGTATTGATTTGTTTTACAATTGTTAAAACAAATTCTTTGTAAACATACGTGTAAAAATTTTTATTACTTTTTCTTTAATTGTGGCGAAATGAAATCATGTTATGTGAAACACTCCCCGAAAACAAATTTTGTTTTATTATTTTCAAAAATTTTAATGTGCCAAAATATAATCAAATTTAGTTTTTCTGTGTTTCAGCATAAATAACCGAAAAAGCACCCCTTTTATATCAAGTAATAGAAACGGATTGATACTTTTTCGACTTTTTATGATAAAACAAATAATTTTCGTTACTTATGAAAATGTAAAGACAAAAATTATTTTTATCGTTCGACGTTTTTATCATATTCAGTGTCTCAACTTAAAAAAAAAAATTAATTACAAAATATTCATGTATCAATAAATACATTTGAAACATAATTTCATTCAATATATTAAAGATATGGCTCTTAATGACAAAGGTTTTCATAATTTTGTTTCATATTTCGTCTTTAATAACATAAGATCTATTTAACAATAATTTAATTTCATTTGAAACAAAAGTAAGAAACAACTGAAAGAGAAGTACGAAAATTTCGTCATATTAATCTTTTAATATGTGCTTTTTCTCCAAAATTTCAGAGTGCCAAGTATTTGTTTCTTCATTTAAATTCGCTGAATTTTTGGTAATATAAACATCAAATTGTTTTGTAAAATAGCTGAAAAAAGCTTAAAATATTTGAATTAATTAGAATTAAGCATATCCTAAAAATTTTAAGTTCCTAATTCAAATAAATTCAAAGACGATCTCCATACGTAGAAGAATATAAAGGAAATAACCTAAAACAAAATTAAAACACCAATTCATTTCGAAAAAAATTATTTAAAATATTTACTTAAAATAATAAAAAAGTTATAATCAAATGAACATAAGTGGTATTGGATATTCTTACATAGTATAATGTGAATTTTTATGAAACAAGAAAAAATCAAACAATTATTACACTGACGTCGATGAGTGTTAATAACGAAGAATTGTAATTAGGGTCGAATATACATCTATATACATAAATCTAAACAAGCTTAGATTTAGATTTATGTATATAGATATTTGTATAATTGAATCCCAAGCTATAGCTTAGGGATTCAATTGTAAGCCTTACATGATGAATACAATACCTAAAATTAAGGGCTTTTAAATTCAATAGTCAATAGAGAAAGAAGAACCTATGAGTTACTATATTTTACAATTTAGTGGCACACGTTTAAATCCCGGCTCTGACCGTTATCATTTAGATTTAAGAGAATTAAAACGAATACAATTTATTTAAATAATTAAAAAAATATATTATTTCTAATTTTTAAGCTATAAATTTATTTTTTAATTTTTAAAAACATAAATACGAATAAATGTAAAGAAATTTGTCGTAAATTTAGTTAGAAACTAATAATTCATATAGATTTAATGCTCCCCTATCTTGACCAAGGTTTTAAGCTCTTCACCAATTTTAGGCTTTTATTCTCTAGCTTAAGATCTACTTTAAGACTTTAAACTGAAAGAAAGAATTTAAGTATTCGGTCGACAAACTTCTCCCTAAGTTATTTTTAACTAATAGCAACGGCAGAAACTGCAATATTTTCAACGAAATTATACTATAATCTTTCTTTCTTCTGAGGAAATCAAGAAGAGGGATTCTAGTGTAATTTTGTTGAAAATATTGCAGTTTCTGTCACTACGTTAATTAGAAATAATGGCAAATTTTATAATTATATCGGGAATGGAGCGTAATATTGTCATTTTGTTGTAATATAGTTTTTGTAATCGAGCATATGTATTATCGGCAATAGTATTGAATTCAGGAATACCTGGCAGTATTTTTCATCAAAAATGTAAAATCCACTTGAGAAGAAGAAAAATTCTATTGTTTACAAAACTTATGTAATTTACACAATTTTAGCCACGTGTAACCGTATTCTGTTGTCTGTTCCATTCCGAGGAAATATGGACACAACATACGTTTTAATTTAATACGTTTCATTCTCACATTCACACGAATTTCTCTTTTTATTATTCATTTGCATACATAGTTATATAAATAAATCACGATAATCATGATGTTGATACTTCAAAAAGATATTTCCTATATTGCTTCCACTTGCTGTTATCGTTAGAGGGCATCGAGAATAAGTTCGTACGTAAATTATGTGACTAGATGTAAAAGATGTATACACGTATACAGTATTTTTGGTTAAAGTAATGCACATACTTGAACATTCCTTTACTCCTTACTATATTCGTTTCTGATCTTATATAACACTGAAGATGATATTTGTAAAACATATTATTGTCATTGTGTTTGAATAATCGCATTATTAAAGCTTGCAATGAAACGCACATAGGACCTATCTAAAAATGCTTTCTGTGCACGAACGTGTTGCATATTTAGGTGTAGAGTTGTCTAAAAATGATTCGCGAGAATCCCAATCGGATGAGCACGAAAAGATCAAAAGATATATAGACAACACAGCGTTTTCTTTTGATATTTCGTAAAGAAAATGAATTTCATGAAGTTATATGAGTGCGTGTTATCAGTGGTCTTAGAAAAGAAATACTCAAAGTAATTATTTTTGATTTATTATTTCTTTTGTGCATTAATTGAAGATCTTTTTCAGAACTAGAATAGATACGAAGATGAAATCCTATTTTGATAATTTAAACAAAAAATATACAACAATTTGTATAACGGTGTTAAGTCGCAACAGAAATTCTCAATCGATGATGTCCAAAAATCTCACTAGAGCTAAAGTTTTTCGAGTGAATTTTTAGACAGATTCTGATTTTTCTCTGATTAAAAAAGCTTAAAGTCTGCAATAAAGTTA